AACAGATTTCAGCAGATGCTTTTTCTAACTCTTCTCTCTTGTAAAGATGTGGCATAGGGTTAAGTACCGGCTACAGAGCACTTGGGCACACTCAGCTGAAAGGTGCTACAAAACAGCACCGATAACTTTTTTTTCCCCCAGATGATTCAAGTTTAAACAAACTCAGTTGCTGTTTTCTCCTCTCTTCTTTGCTGATTTTGTGTAGACATAAATGAATGTGAAGAAAAGCTCTGTGAACAGACCTGTGTCAACTCGCCAGGGAGTTATACCTGTCACTGTGATGGCAGGGGGGGAGTGAAACTTTCCCGGGACATGAATACATGTGAGGTATGTTAGCCTTCGTAACTGCAGAACAGACCTTTATTTTATGTTGCAATTAAGAATAACTGATGAAGCTCTGGACCGAAGCCATTTGAGCTGAGTGACCAGCAGGAGGGAATCGTATCAGCAAGGCCACGTGGGCTGGGGACAGTAGCTCTCCTGAAAAGAAGGATCTCATTAGCCTTTTGGGGAGGCAGTTCATTCAGAGTCTCTCTTCTCATGCTCCTCCTGTCCCTATTCCAAAAAGAGCAGGCCAGCGATAGCCCTGCCAGCTCTCTGTCTGGCTATGAGTTACCTCTGGCTGCACAAGGTTTTCTGAGTTAGACCCAGGAGGATGGCGTGAAGGTCTCCAGGCATGTGGTGTGAGTTATGGACCAGCACTTGCACTTGACACTTTCGTCCTCCAGGCATTTGAGGCAGATGGGCTTCAGTGGCACAGGTGGCCCCACCGGCAACCAGTCACCAGCAAGTTCTTAGCCCATCTTTTGTTGCAGGCGTGATGCTGCAAGTAGAAAAGGGTGACAGAGCACTGGAACAGGCTGCCCAGGGGGGTTGTGGAATCTCCTTCTCTGGAGATATTCAAAGCCCACCTGGACAATGTCCTGTGCAACCTGCTCTGGGTGAACCTGCTTTAGCAGGGGGGTTGGGTTAGATGATCTCCCGAGGTCCCTTCCAACCCCTGCCATTCTGTGATTGATTCTGTGAAAACCTTATGCTGTACCTTATGAGTATGGTTTCATTTAGCAGCAGGAAAACATTCCTCCGAGGCAGATAGGAGGGAGGAGGGAAGGAAAGAGGAAATGTTCTCAGTACCAAAACAACGGTATTTTGAGAGTATAAATATTAAAGTGCCCTAGCCTGCTATATGTATAGCAGCTGCATGAGAAAAGAAGAGGAGGCATACTCTCTGCTTCTCTTTCCGCTGTGTGAGGAGAATAAGCACTCAAAAATGCGTTTTGATTGTAGAACATAATACCATGTGTGCCTTTTGCTGTTGGAAAAAGCATTAAGTCCTTGTACTTGGGGAGGATGTTCAGCGGCACTCCTGTTATCAGGCTGCGCTTCAAAAGGAAACAGCTGACGAGGTGAGGACGATTTAGAATGACAGCTGAATGCGCTGTCTGGCTTTAATGCATGCAATGGAGTTAAGTCATTACAATAACAATTATTCCTATGATCATTCTTATGTGTTTGGATTATGGAGTCCAGTAAAGCGAAACATTATCCAAACCAGTAATTGAGAAAGGCAGCCTCGACCGCAGAGCTCCTAAGATAATTACTGGAGTCCAGTAACTTATTCTTTATTCCTGATGCTACTTTAAAATCCGCCTTCACAGCTTAAGTCTTTCAGGAGCACGTTAAAAGCTAGTATGTTTTAACGGAGCTTTATAAGTGTTAGAATTGATGCTATCTGTATGGAAAGTACTCTGTGGTTTTTGAACTCTGCATAACTAATTTATTTCTTGGCACCTGTGCGGTCAGACTTGTGGCTGAGTTCGACTTTAGAACCTTTGATCCTGAAGGTATCCTTTTCTTTGCTGGAGGCCATCAAGACAGCACATGGGTAGTCTTGGCTCTGCGCAAAGGACGGCTAGAGCTGCAGCTGAAATACAACGGAATAGGCCGTGTGACCAGCAGCGGACCACTTATCAACCACGGCATGTGGCAAACGGTGAGTCCGGACCGCTGACGAGATCTTACCCTCTCCTGGCTTCTTCTTGATGGGCTCTGGCAAGTGCAGCTACACTGCGTGTATTCTTTGTATTTTTGAGAAGGTGCTTTTCCAACCCGCCCATTCAATGCACACCAGTACGTTATACATCCTCGAGTGAGAGTAGGGTGTTTTTCCTAAGAAATTGAATTATACTTTATATCCATTGTAAACTAGGCTGGGTCACTAATTTGTGCAGTGCTAGCCTGACCAGAGAAGATGCACATGGTGCCTCTGGGATGCAGCAGGGCTAAGGTCACTTCATGTCAGTTTGAGAAGATGCCTTCTGGGTGGAAGGGAGTAAGAGGGAAGGAACTCAGTAGTTGTTCTCTTTTGCCGTGTGGGGTGTGCGGTTGGTTTTGTTTATTCATCTTCTTGTTTAGTCACAGGGCTCAGGTTGGCTGAGCCTTTTGACAAATCTCTCATGCTACAGTATCTTTTTTTAAACTCCCCAGGCTTGCTTATATACAAAATAGTCCATTTCCCCTGTAAAGATATTGGGGTCTGTTAGAAACTACGTAGATCTCTGCTTACTAATAACATAATTCCAGCAATCTCACGAGACAGTGCACTGCATGTTGGAGCTTGCAAGGATTCATGTTCTTAACGTCTCTCTCAGAACATCTCCTGGTGGTTCAGGAGGCATCATGGGTGTTACTATTTGTGACAGGATCGGGAAAAGCATCCTGTAGCATGATCTACACCAGATCAGCAATTTACATATGCATCTCCTCACTTGTGCCTTTTTCCCCCTTTCATTTTTTCTTAATTAGTTCTTTTGACTTTTAAGTTGATGTGTCTCAGGGAGCGGGTGGGAAGTTCTCAGCTAACTCGCATGTGAGACAAATACAGATACTGGTAACCATGAATAATTTTCAGTTTTAAATTTTGTAGTATAAAAAACTTCAGAATTATTCATTAAAGAAAAAAGCAAGGTGGGAAAAATTTTGTAATGAATAAACAAAGAAGTCCTTGAGTGCATTCACTGTCAATCAACTACTGGCATTTGGTAATGTTTCCAGCAGATGAGGTGATGTTTAATTCTGCTCCTTTACTGTCACTGAAACAATTTTAGATTCCAAATGGAGAGCTGTAGAGGTTCAGCAAAACTGTAGCTAAAATGTATGACATGCTGTATCTTTGCAGGTAGGAATAGCCTCAAGCCAGTTCTTGCCAAATTTGCTGTACTATTTGTTCTGCTAATTTGAAACATGACAACTGTAATTGCCTGCACAGGGAGGATGGTGACAGAAGATGTGAAAAGCAGAGTTGATGCCACTGGGGTGACTTTGGAGTCACAAAAAGCAGTCATTACTGAGCTAAGCCATTTAACACAGGAGCGTAACATACTTGTTAAGTGCCAGACCTCATTATGAAGTAATTACAAACTTTCCCACATTAGCTATGGGGGAGATCTCTGAAATGTATTTTCCTGCTTCAAGGAATACAAAAGTGCTCAAACACATAGGAGTTACAGGGTAAACAAAGGCTGTGCTTGCTTTCTGCTGGGAGAGAAGGCGGAATGATAAAAGTATTTTTAGGCAAGAATTATTGGTCTCCTGACAGCCAGCAGTGGCAGGGCCCTTATCCCCAGGTACCATCATAGCCAAGAAATGGCTTGGCTGGGTTGCTGCAGCAGCACCCTCTTTGCGCGTTTTCTGAGAGATTATATAAATCCCCTGGAAACCCTTCCCCGAGACCTTTTGGGACATCACAGACCAAGCTGCTGGGTGCTGTGTGGTGCAGGTGGGCAGGACCCAGGCCAAAGGGGGAGGCAGAGGTGCCCCTGCAGCCAGCAGTGCAGGGCCTGGCAGAGACATAGCATGGCAGGAGCGGAGGAGGGAGCACCATGCGGTGGTGGCACTGGAATCCTTGCTTGGAGCAGGTCGATGACCATAGCTCTGGTGACTGTCTCCCAGAGTTAATGCTGTGCCTCATACTGGCCAAAGGCAGAAGGATTTACCCACAGATGAACGGCAGCAGGAGGAAGGAGCCTTGAGTCTCTGGACTTCGTGGTTGACTCGCCTCTGAGGCTTGGGATGCTGCTTGCGTTGCTGGGGTGCTGTTGGCTTCTCCTTTCTCTGCTCTGCTTTCTTACCCCTTGCCTCCACCCTACAGGTACTTTGTTCTCTTCTGCTTAACATCCAGAGTCACCCCCGTCTCTAAATGCCGTTTATTCCATATGACTGAGCCATAAAACTGTACATCTGCTCCTCCATTTTATCCCTGCCCTTATTTCTCCTTTTCCCTCTGTCTGGCATGGTTTTTAATTTGGGAAATCCTGTTGAGGAGGGGCTATTCCTTTTCACCTGTCTCCTTTTATAAAACACGTAGCCACATATTTCATTTTAAGTATGGACTTTTGTGTACTTTTCAACCTCATCTTCTGTGAAGCACAACCCCTACAACCTTCAAAGGTCACAGTCCTGACTCAAACGCAGTTTGGGAGCTTTACTCTGGACTTCAGCGTGCACAGGATCAAGCTCTTAGTTTTGCCTAGACCTACAACAGTGGAGTTTGGAACTTGGGAGAACTTTATAGAGGTTGTGAGAAAATAGTAATTTTACTATTTACCTGAAAAACAATGGCTATTTAAAAGCGATACATGAGAAAAAGCACCAACAGTGTATGTCTTTTGGTCTCTTGAGCAACAGTTGCATACTTCTGTGGAAATACGAAGGCATTTTCAAAACTTCGGGCCAATACCTCTACCTAGATATTTTCTCTGATGTTGATCGCTTCTAGTCTGTTTTTAGGTAATTATTCCCAGCATTGAAAACACAAACAAGCAGGCCTCAGGAAAAACTTTTAATACAGTTATTTGTGTGTAGTCCAGCTGCATGAAGTGGCCTGCGTGACCTGATGATAGCAGAGAACGCGCTTGCCTGCTGTTTGTTTTGCATTTCCAAAAAAAGTCATCATTTTGTCTTATTTTCAATGTTTAGTTTAGTACTGCTCTGAGGACAGTATGGTTAGCAAAAATAACAACCTACCTGCACTGTTAAATGTCAGCACTGAAGGTTAAGCAGTCGCAAGCAGATTCGAATTTGGCTTTAACCCTGCGGCTGCCTACAGTCCCGTCCCGTTTCAGTGCTGTCCACTTGCTTTTCAGCAACGGGTGGGCAGGCTGGCTCTGGGATAGGAGTTATCCAGGGCATGAATCCAAACCACAAAGCTGACTGACCTTATGGCTAACTGTATGGGAACCCCTAGCTACCAGAGCTGCCTGCCTGATCCTCCCCGAGCCCGCTATGGCAGGCAGCAGCTACCCACTCCTCGCCAACAGGAGGAGGGAATTACAGCAGCCTGCTAACTACCAAAAAGCTTCCCTTTTTGGTTTGTAGGTGATGGTGGTGCACCAGCAATTAAGCTTTGAACATTTGAAGTTTTCAAACTGCCAGAGGGTAGCATGAAGTAGGCAGACTATAATTTCCCAAACTGGAATTTGTTGAGAGCTTGCTTCCACGGGGATTAACCCCTTCTCCTATGGAAGTTTCCACTTATTTGAATTTGTTTATATTAATTATCAGAAGAAGCTGAGAACTCAGATTAATTTTTTGAAACATATATGTTATTACTTACTATACAATCTCATAAAATTTTAGAAGGCTCTGAATTTTGGTGGCCCTGCAAGTTGCAGGATTTCTTTACCAAGGAAGCATGGTACGTGCATTCCTGTAGCTGGCTTTTCCCTGCTTGCTCCATGGCTGCCCTCAATCCATACTAGGAGCAGGGAGACGGTCTGTGCCCGCACCCCGGAGCGTTGGGGCAGCGGTGACCGCCACACCGAGGAGAGGCGTCCGAGTGAGTTTCAGCTCGATAGCCAGTGTAGCTAAGCCAGAGGGGCTGCGGCTGCCAGGAGCTGTGGGCTTATGTTCCCACCCACTGAGTGGACTTTACAGCCTGCCAATGCCCAAAAAAGCCTGTTTTGAGACTGGCTTGTGTGTCTCCATGGCACGCAGCGGGGAGGTGTAGATGCCACTTTAAACAAGCAAGCTTCAGGCAAGTAAATTCATGTCCTGTAGGATACAGCACGGAGCAACACACCAGGGGTAAACAGTGTTTCAGCAGTATAAACCAGACCGTACTGGAATCCACAGGAGAAGAAAAAAGTCTGATAATATGTGAATAATCTTTTCAACTATCAGATTCACTTAGTCTTCATAACTAGAGACTGCAATCCAACAGGATTGTGTCCAGGAATAAACCTGCCCAGCCCTGTCATCCTTTACATTACAGCCACAGAGAGAGAGCTCAGTGTGGCTGATGGAAACAATTTTGGGGGCAGCTACTCTTGAAATGCAAAGAGAAAGATGCTGATAACCCAGCCTGCTAGCAGGGAGTGGGAAGAACAAGTCTGAACAGCCGCTGCAATAGTTATTTGGTTCCATACAGCAGCTCGCTGATGGAGACAGCATCCATGTGTCCAGGGGAACAGAGCTGTAGGGGTGAAGAGTGGGGTACCGGTCGTGGCATGGGAAGGGGGAGTGCTGTGCTGGAGATAATGAAATAGAGGAGGTGTGCTCCTTTCTTCTTCTCTGCAAGAAGAAAAGGTTCCTCTTCTGCCACGGCCACAGAACACCCTGTTGGTGGCAGGACCCAGGTCCCGAGGCACGGAATCCATGCTGCTGTTCAGCAGCCTGCTACGTGTCAGCTTTGTGCTTCGCCTCCTCCTCTCCCTCCACAGCGCTGGCTGCTTTATGGTGCTTCTCTGTACAGCTTGGTCATAATTAAAATTGTGACCTTTTTTTTGAAATTTCAGTAGTGATAGAGTCTTCCTAGAAGTACCTCTTTGGAGACAGGGAGGTAAAACTTGCAGATACCTTTTGAGAGAAAAAATATTGGCTATTACACATTTTTATTACCCTCTCAAATATGACATCTTCTGTTGTTCTTTTTTCTGGGGTCAGTATTCAAAGACTAGACTTAATGGGGCTGGAAGGCTTCTGCTTTATCTTCCACCGGCCTAACAAAAGACATCTTCTTATCTGTCTTCCCAGCTTTTCCTTTCACATGCAGTTGCAATGGGAAGTTTCTCATTAATAACTCATTATTGCATTTACATTTTGCATAGAGCAACCTACAAATGCCACTTAGGTAATCCACTCGTATTTTTGTGTAGCTGTTTTGAAATAGCTGGGCTGTCTTCGCCAACCCCAGGTTGCTGTCTAGAGTAAAGATTTACATATCAAGGTGGAATATAACTTAAAAGATAGCAGAAGAGGCTTGGGGACAGAAAACATTTCTCCATCCTGGGAATGTCACTAATGGCGCCTGTCCTTTAGTTGAGGCTGCAGACGTCAAGTTCTTTTTACACTGAATTATTCTATTTGCAATTTTACTTTTTCAGATCTCTGTTGAAGAACTCGAAAGAAGTTTGGTTATAAAGGTCAACAGGGATGCGGTTATGAAAATAGCTGTCTCAGCGGATCTGTTTACTCTGGACAAAGGACTGTATCAGCTGAATTTGACAGTAGGAGGCATTCCTTTCAAAACAAAGGACCTTATTCTGCCGGTAAGCATAGCACGATTGCCCATCTTGTTTTGCATGCCTGAAGGGCTTGATTTCGTCTTCTCTTGGGGTAATGTAGGTCCTTCCTGAGAGCAGTTCAGCCTGCCTTGAAACAGGTGGAATTATCCCCTTCTGGATACAGCTTTCTCTCCATTGACTGTAGAGGGAGCCTAAGCCAGTAGCAAAGGTGAGACTCCTGATTTTTTTTGATTGGGAAGTTTGGGTGAGATGTATCCCACACTTGGCCTGCTGAATTAGGAGACAGCAAAACCGGAGCACATGGCAAAGCCTTGAGAATTAAAGGTGGTCATGCTGGCTTGGAGACCATGAGAGGGCCTGGTGGGTCAGTGGGCACACCGCTGCGTGAGGGTACCCTTGTCCCCTCTAGGTCTGGAGACAACCTTGGAGGCACTTTTTGTGTTGTGACCGAAGTTTGGGCTTCTTATCACAGTTTTGCTGCCTGCATTTGCCATTTCAGTTTAGTAAGACCCAAGGAAAAACAGCGGCTTATTTTTTTCTTTATTTCCTCCTAATTCAAGTAGATAGGGTGTATGAATAAAAAAGTTAAGGCACTCTTTGGGTGCGATTGGATGATTGCTGTGTTTCTGAAAGAGCTGCTGCTCAGGCTGTTTTGAATGTCCACCGCACACAGAGTTGGCACCTTGAAACCCAAATTGGCATCCCTTTATTTCTAAATGAGGTGTCAAAGCTTGCGGCTCTGTGACTGGGAGTGCAGCAGCTGAGGAAGGCTCCTGTTCCTCACAAGAAGCCATTCAGGGCCACTGCTTGTCTGAAACATTAAGCTCAGGGTGTGGTCTGAACACAGGATGGAGAGCCAAAAACTCCTGAGGTTTTTATCCTGGCTCAGACACTTAATTCTCTCCCTGCTTCACTTAATTGGATGTAATGGCACTGATTTAGACACTTTGCAAGGAGCCTTCTCTGTACATACTGTCTCACATTTTAAAGCTGACATTTGGTACAGGATAACATAACTAGAAGCTGGAAGTAACAAGATGTGTGGAGAGTGGGGTGCCCATCTTGTGGCTCAGGCACCCCTCCCTTAAGCCAAAAGCCAACAACTTATACCGTGATCAGGTCCAAAGTCTTGTGCATCATGAAGGCTGTTTGCAATGACATAAAGGATACTTTTCTTTTTTAACCTGAAGTTAGCCTCCAGCATTTGCAATGCAGAATTATGGGAATTACAAAGCTTTGGCTACAGAGCTTTAGAAGTAGATTGCATTAATGATGTGCAGCATGTAGAAGCAGCTAATGGAATCAATACAACCAAATCAGCACCTGCATTAGTTAGTGTCCTGCTGTCCCGTGGGGACAAGCTAAACTCAGGTGAGTTCCCTGAGAAATACCGACCACTTACTTGCATGGGGTTGAGGGATTGGGATTGCTGCCAATTGGTCTGCACGTTCATAATTAATACATCAAAATGCTTTCCCATATTTGATATCATACTATAACTCAGGATTCCTCTGCACCCAAAACCAGCTATTCTTCACTGAATAGTAGTTTGAGGCATGAGATACTGCTTTATCTTCCCAGATAAACCCTCGGCTGGATGGTTGTATGCGGGCATGGAACTGGCTGAACGGGGAGGACACCACTATCCAAGAGACCATAAAGATGAATGAAAAGATGCAGTGCTTTTCTGTAGCAGGACGAGGGTCTTTCTATCCTGGCCGAGGTTTTGCTGTGTTTAATCTTACTTACGGTAAGTAAGTTATTTTTTTTTATTTCTGACCTTTTGTCCTGCCATACGTGATTAATAAACAGTTTAAAACTTACATATATGCCAGACTCAGTGTTGATTGATGCAGAAAAGACTGGCAGCTGTGGATGGAGAGGGAATAGCTAAACTTGTGGTTCATAGTGAAGGAAGGCCGTGTACGATGGTTAGAGCCAGTACGGATCTGACCAGGACAGGTTAGGTTCTCTCTGCGTAGCCCGAGTAATGCATTTGACATCCAGGCTGGTTCCAGCTCGCCCTCAGCATTAGGGGCTTCTCACCCCTCTGTCAGCAGCGCAGGTGGTTCCAGCACCGTCCGCTGTTTTCTGCTAAATAGGGAGAGCTGCAAGCCACAGCGCTATATCTTATGATGGACAGAAAATCAATATTGTCTGCAGGAAGATGTCCAAGATCAGATTCACTTTTAATCATTGGGTGGTACTCATTACACTTGGGATGAACACACTAACCATATCCCTGATACGAGCTGAATGAAATTGGCCTAGATAAAGTAATAACAAGTTTCAAATCAAACTTGGCCACGCTAATTTAGCACTCAGAAGGACACCTTGTCTTTGTCTTTATTCTGGATTGTTCTGTTTGTTTATATGTGTGATCAGCTGTCATTATTTTGAAACCTGTACAAATGCCAACCATTTATTTTAGTTTCATGTGCAATTCCTCCTCTGCAGAAGCCTTCTGTGCATCATTAGGTGGATTTTTTCTGTTGTGCCATTGTAAATTAGGGAGTGTCAGGTGTCTGTCTCATTTACCACATGGGTTCAAAAGCTGCAAAGTAGAGACAATGCAGCATCTGAAGTGCAGATGACAGCACTCGGCAGACATGAGTCCTCAGCACCTGCATCTTTTTTTTTTTTTTTTTTTTTTTTTTCTACAAACAGTAATCCTCCTTTTTGGGGGCTTTGTAATGGTAAGCTTTATAAAGAACTTATTTCTTGTATTTCAAGATGTGATGAAACAGGATAGCTAATACTACTAAGTAGGGAGGTTGCAGAAATAGCATTGAAATCTTTCTTTGTTGCCAGCATCACCTTTTAAATTACAAGGGCACTGGGTCAGTAAGAAAGAAAGATGCCAGAGAGTTGATTTCAGTGCTTCTGAGAGGTTTATGATCAGGAAGTGATTGGGCAGGTGATCAGTGTAGTATGCTTATATCCTTTTTCAATTTAACTCAGGCTTTCATAGAAATGTTTACTCTATGTCAGATTTGGACTTAGAGTCCTCAATTATCTTTGGACAGCCAAGTACGATGCAAAAATTGGGTGCCCTATCTTGCGGCAGTTCTTTGAATGTGTTGGATTGAGAGCCATGGGAATCTGAATCTCTTTGTGATAAAAAAGCTTAACCTTATCCTTTGACACTCTGGAAGGCAGCAGAATGCAGAAGGTAACAAGAGGAAACTGATGCCGGTTTTTTTTTTCTCTGATTTTATGTTCAGGTGCTTTGGAATTTCTTTTTTTGAGTAAAAGAAATGTGGCACTCCCTCCATACGCTCATCCATCTGTCCTCTTCTCCAGGCAGAAATTGCACAGCCTACCCATTTGACCTGTTAGTTCTACATTTGTCATGCTACGCGTTTCTTTTTTTGTAGTGCAACCTTCTTCTGGAAACGACACCAAGACAAGTTGGGAAATAGAAGTCAATGCTGCAATTCAACCAGCGACAGATACTGGCGTGCTGTTTGCTCTGGTTACAGAAGAAGCATCTGTCCCCCTGTCACTCTCTCTGATTGACTATCACTCCACAAAGAAACTGAAACAACAGGTACAGACTTAAGTGATTTTCTAGAGAAGGTGCCTTGCGATTTCCTGGGCACTGAGAGTCATTCTCAAAAATGGTTGTCAGGTTTGCTGCCTGCCTGCCTGCTTATTTGCACCCACCAGTTCAGAAGACGGTTTGGGACTGAAGGTGCTTGGCTGACACCGAAATTCAGACATTACTAGGGAGCTCTTTGCAAATGTCATCTAGGTACAAGATGGAACTGGTCTCTTGAATGCAGGCATATTTTGTTATGTTTTCTGGCACAGAAGCTATTTAATGCCATAAGCAAATAATTCCCATTCTCTGGAGCTCATCAGTAATAATCCCGAGGCAGTGAAGAGACAGGCTTAGGTGGCACTCCAGGTGCTGTGAAAGGCCAGTTACCATGGAGTGCTGAAGCAACTGATTTAATAAGGTATTCATAATAAAGGGCTGGATTCTGGCATTACATGACTGTAAATCAGGAATGATTTCTCTAAAACACACTTTTCATTTATGGTATGGCAGCTCTAGTCTATTTGGTTCCAGTGCTGTATAACAACCTCTGTAAGAACCGATCAGAATTCTCTCTGAGAAGACAGTGGTTAAGACTAACAATTAGTCCCACTGGCTCATTAGTTTTTCTTCTATGCAAATGAGCTCAGAAAATGATGAGCAGTAGTAATAAGGCTAATTATCTGGTGGCTCTGCAAAATCTTTGTAAAACAAGGCCACAGTGGGATCACCCTGGTCTTGGATAAGCGTGGCTGGGTATATTTCTGCTCACTGCCTCTTTTTAATTCTTTCCCCTGCTGTCCAGTTTATCATCATGGCCTTGGAGAACACTGTTGTATCCAGACTGGCAATAAATCTCTGCGATAAGAAGGAACACTCTGTGGACATCTTCCTCAAGAAAGATCACTTATCCCTGAGGGTAGATGGGATAGCAGGAGAGAGCGAACTAAGCATCTCTGAGTTAGAGGACAGTCTGTCTGTCTTGGAGAGCTCTTTGCACTCAACAGTGAACACCTACGTGGGAGGATTGCCAGGTGAGCATCCAGTTTTGTAGTGTGGACTACAGGCTCCCAACTCGCCTTGCTGAGCTGGCAGTCAGGAAAACTGTCTCTGTTCCTTCAAGCTGGCAGAGTCCTTCTCTTCTGCTTGAGCAGGCTTTGTCTGCGATTCAGGCACGTAATCTTAACAGTTGTGAGGGCGTGCTTGACAATTTTTTTTTTTTTCTGGAATGATTGTGTCCTCCTGAGGACAGCTGTAGGCAAAAATAGAGAGGAGGTTTTGCTTGGTCAGGTAGGAATGATTTATCTGAAGGATAGCTGTAAGCAGGAACCTTCTCTTAAACCTGCTAAAATCCATAGGAGCTGGACCACAGGTGCCTGCATTCCTTCATTAATGTAATGAACATGCGTGAGCGCTCCTTGAGGGGAGTTCCAGGGTCTCACATTATTTTGACTGAAGCTTGGGAAGCCCAGTGTGATTTTCCCTGGCTGATGTTCTGTTTTAACTGATCACAGCGCTACACAATTAACAGATTTCCTCCCAGCAGAGGGTACTCAGGGCACAACCAAGGGGCTAACACCATGTATAGTTTTGCTGGCTTTTCAGCAACAAAAGGGCCTCTTGTAGGAAGTCAGTTCTCTCCTCCCTTCTGAACCTGGAAGATGAAACTTTCATATGAATCGTGAATTTTGGCTAAGTTTGGGGGTTTCTTGTTCCGGCTGAACTTGTTTATCAGTGGCTACTGCTGAGGAATGCAGTTAAGGAGACACTTATGTCTCTGATGCACAGCAGTACATCCTATTTTATTGCCAGCAGCTAAGCAAAACCTTGCCCTTACTTGCCCAAGCAAGGGAGGGGCAGCAATGTTGGCCTCTTGGTAGGTGCCGAAGCAGTCAGGCTGGAAGAGGGTGGCTGAGGTGCCGCGTGTGCCAGGACACACGGTGTGACTGTTCCCACCACGAACAAGAGTTTACAGAGTATTTATGCCGATGATGTAAATGGCTCCTCGTCACACCTAAAAGGAGGAGGCCGCAAGCTCTGGGATGTTCACACCGCGGCAGGAACAAGGCTGAATCCCCTAATGTGGCATTTTCCGGTGTCAGATTGAATTGTCCTAGCTGGCCATTGCACAGGGGAGACATCCCACTCGCTTTCTTCCAAGCAGCTCTCAAATGCGCAGCAGAGACTGCCACAGCTCAGAAAACAACCCCGTTCTGTTGCTGTCCCACATTCTCCGTGGTTCGCTTAGACTAGCCATGCTGGGTGAAGCGTGGGTTTTTAATTAGCCAGAACCAAGTGTGAGAGATCATACCTATGACTGTTTGGACCCAGCTGGCTTCTGTAGGTTTAGCTACTTTCCCCCTTCGATCTGTTGTGCTCAGCAATGTGAATCTCTGCCTGTGGTCTGCTTTTGCCATTGAGAGGAACCCGGCACTTGCATCGAGAAGCCTTGTCATTTGCCAAAGGAATAAACATTTCAGCACTTTGATTAGATTGATCACTCTGGGTTAAATAACTGTACCAAATGGTCAGACCTTAGTTTGGTTCATTCAAATTTTGAAAACAGTACATTGTTTTTTGTTTTTCCCTGCTCCCATACCCTGTGGAAAAAACCAAAGTATAGTGGTCACACTTAATGTCTTTATTCCATTTGCCACAATTAAAGAAAGAATTCTGGGTCAAAATATGTAGTGCGTCCCATCCTAAGTACAGCTAATATTGCAGATGTGGAAGAAATATTATTTAGAGTTTCAGGAGATAAGAGGGAACATATAGGCATTTCCTACTTTTTCTATGGTATTTTCAGTTCTGGTAAATCCTAAATTATGTAATTTATATGATGTATAGGTTTTTTTCCCTAGGCAATGTGTATACCACCACATGAAGGAGCCTTTAAACAAGACTTGTGAGTCTTTAAAGAATCACATTTCAGATGGATCCATTTCTAGCCAAAACAGAAAATTAAATACTTGACCTGATTAGCAATTATAACACAAAGAAAACATTTTTTAAATTAATTTTTGATAATATCTTACAAATTCATCTGAAAGCCCACACTGTCCTTCAGTGAGCCCTGTGGCACACGTAGCAGCATCCTGCATGATTCCTTAGGCGAGTGTTCAAGCCAACAAGTTGAGCCAACACTGTCAACTTGTCCTGAGTCAAAATTTAGTTTACGTTCATGTGAGGTACTACCACACAGATGCCCCCTTCTCTTAAGCAGACTTCACAGATAAAATTTGGTAAATGGGGAGGAATAGGAAATAGCTAAAATGATTAGTTTAAGCAACTACCAAGCAATGGTACTTTTCAGCAAGGAAGCTGAAAAATTTGTAGTATCTCTTTGTGGCTTACAGAGCCCACACAAATATTCTTTCTCTTACTCGGTCTCAGTCTGTCCTCGCCCTAAGCTGTATTTGATCACATCAGCTTCAAATTTGGCCCTGCATGTCTCCAGGAAGAACCCTTTGAAGTGCCTATCATCTCAGGTCAACAGGACAATCTATTGTCCTTGTTTCAGTGTAAAGATAAGGGGTTTACTTAGCTACCTGCATCGCTGTGAAGTTAAATAATCTTTGAGACATTCATTGCTTTCCATTGCACAACCAGCTTGACTGGGTCGGCTTTGGGTGGTAAATAAACTAATAACCTTTGGGGAAGGGTAGAGGACACAGTTCACATAAATTTTCATGTTATTACTTTATTAGATGCGGGGGTTTTTGTTTATTTAAGGTCAATTTGTATATGATGTTACAGAAGTTAGTACTAAGATTGACTGATTTTCTGTAGTCTGTTGGACTGTAGTGTCTTCCTCCTTGCCATTTGTTTTCTGCCTCTGGTAAACTGATCAAAAGTACATCACCAGTGAATCTCCATAGAAAAAAAATTAGTCTCATTAGTCTTACCAACTCAAGTGATGTATTCCAGCACCTTTCTGATGAATGCCAGCAACCTCCTTGTGCATAACTAGAGAACAGTGAACGTGCGCACAGCAAGTGGTAGAGGCTGCATATGGGAGGAGCCTTCCTGTCATGAAATTCTTTCTATAACCTTTTGGCAGATATTTTGGAGAGAGGGGGAGACCCTTAGAGGAAGGTGTAACAGCTCCACTAAAGACAAAGCAGAGGTTCAGAGATGGAGGGAGGGGAACATCAAGATGGAAAGCAGAGTGAACACAGGGTGCAGCTGGAGTGAAGCCTCACTGCTGTGCAGCACGTAGTTTTGTTGGGAGTGGAGGCCTTGCAGAGATGCAGAGCAGCTGAGGAAGGGTTCAGCCCTGGGAGAAGGGCTTTGGTGCACAAGAGCAGACGGCATTTTCCCCATGTCTGTGATCATGCTCTTGCCTTCTGGTGAGAGGGCCGGGGCAGAGGCAGAAATCACGGAGTGGAGAAGAGGAGAGTTTGAATTCATTGAAGCAATGCTCATCTGGATATAGGTAGGGCAGGTATTTATTCAAAACTGGCCTGTTTTATCTCCCCTTTCACACAGACGTTCCTGTGACTTCCACTCCGGTCACCGCGTCCTACCATGGTTGCATGACCATCAAGCTGAACAATAAGGCACTGGACTTGGATGAGGCTCTCTACAAGCACAGTGACATCACCTCACACTCCTGTCCTCCAGTTGAGGCGGGTCAGTAGGTACCACTGCAATGCGAAAGTTTTATATTCAGAAACTTTCAATGCTTTTTCTTTTTTTTTAAAGATATAAATTATTCAGACCTACTGCACTGCGTGTATAGTTTCTCTTAAACACTGAAGTTATGTAGGAGCTACTGATCCTTATGTCAGATTGATTATTGAAATACTCCTTTGCTTTGAGGTTTAAAGGTTGTAATATATTTGTAAATAGTTCAGAAGACTAATATTAAATAAGCCAAAAGTGCAGAATATACCTAAAGTGAATGTTACCTTTAGACTGTAAGAGACAGTTTTATCTGTAATGTGGAAAACCTGGTAATATATGAGTGTGGACTGGAAGAAAAATAATAATTCTGTATTATTTTTTATTACCAAACACTGCTTTCTGATTTGCAAAATATGAGAGAATAAAATATTTACATACGAGTTTTTAATTTATCTGTACTGAGATTATTTTGTATTCTGGTGTTTGGAGATAATGGCTCAGGCGATGCCTGATGTGGAGATTACACTTGGGGCGGGGGGGGGGTTGGTTGGTAGAAAAATAATAATTCTGTATTATTTTTTATTACCAAACACTGCTTTCTGATTTGCAAAATATGAGAGAATAAAATATTTACATACGAGTTTTTAATTTATCTGTACTGAGATTATTTTGTATTCTGGTGTTTGGAGATAATGGCTCAGGCGATGCCTGATGTGGAGATTACACTTGGGGCGGGGGGTTGGTTGGTTGGTTGGTTGGGTTTTTTTATTTGTCGGTGGGGGGGTTTAAGTGCTTATGTCAGTATTATCCATCTTCTGGGCTGGAGAGCAAATGGTTGCTGCTATTCTTATTGCTAGAGTTTCTCTTTCTGGTACCACAGACAGAAGGCTCAATTGCGACCTTCAGAAAAACTCTTGGTCAACAGAAAATGGAAAACAAAATTGGGTCAGCAGGACACAATTAGAAGACTCGACTCAATAAGTTGAAAGCCATATGGCTTTTGTGTCGATAGCTGCTGAAGCAAATGATGAGGTGTCAAGAATTGGGGAATATTATCTGGCAATGACATATTTTTGCTACTTAATTTGTAGGTTGGCTCATTCACTTGAGCCTAGTGGGAGCAGAGAGGCTTGAGAACATGAGTCAGCCAGGCCGAATTGCAGTGTGGTGAGAATATGCATGGGGGTTTACTCGGGAGAGGTTGTAGAGCCATGAAGTGCATTCGGCTTTTAAGCTATCCTTGTGAAGTTGGGGCAGGCTTTGCCCAGCCTGCTTCTGGCACTTAAATCCTGCTTTTTTTGGTGTTTGTCTTGTATCAGATTGATGAACTGAGAAAGATAGGTATATGCTCTGGTGGAAATCCGAATAAGTGGGTGGCTAAGGTTGCCCTATGCTTCAGAGGGTTAACATGGAATTTATGGATTGTTCCTGGTCATTCTATATCATGTTTTGCCTAGTCAAATAGGCAGATGACAGATTAGCCTAATAAATCACACATGTGACATCTGTGACCAAGCTGTGGAGATATAACTGTCCCAGAGGAAAAGGTGGAAGAGGGGGAAAGACTATTGCAAACATGCTTGCTGGTAAGGATCCCTGCTTTATTTAGCAGAGCAGGGGAAGGTACTCTCTTAGTCATTAGACAGCATGACATCATAGCATCATGACCAAAGTAGTCAGCAGTAACGCAGCAGGGCAGAAGAGACCAGACTTTATCGCTTTCAACCAGCCTACTCATTTACACTTACAGAAGGACCTGTCAAAAGACTCTTTATACTCAGGTGTGACCAGATGCAAGTTTGAAAGGATGGTTGCTTGCTAGACAGTAATAACTTACTGGCGGAGTGTTCATGGATAGGAAAACCCAGTAGTTCTGTGGTTTTGCTTTTTTTATTGAGCAAGGGAAACCACATTATTCCTGAGAGTGCTTTCTGTTAGAGCTGATGGCTCTGGATCAACTTGTGATATGCTGGAGAACCCAGGAAACATTAGTTCAGTATCCCCAGTGAGAGCCGGGAATCCTGAAGATACTGGGGTTAACAGCACTTCCACACTGCAGTGTTTTGTTTTCTGTGTGTTTTTCATGGTTATTTTAGTCCTTTACCAAAATGCATCTCCCATCTTTTTAACTTGGAGTAGCTCTAATGAAAACAGTACAAACTTGGAAGACACCTACTATTTTTTAAACCAAGTAGATGAAACAAACCCTGGTTTACTTTGTTCTTTTCAAAGGAAGCATGTTAGCAAAATAGTCGTATGACTGGCATTTTTGTATAATTGCTGTGGTAGCTCCCAAAAAACTACCATGTGGCATAAATGAATCACAAACATGTCTGACCTTTGTGTTAATGTAAGTGGTACTATTTATGAGGCCAGAATTATTTTGGATCCTGGAAACGTGAATCCTGTGGTACAGTGTGGTACGCTGCAGTTTCAGACTTAATACTATGTGGAAAAAAAAAGACTGTAATTCCATTTTCTAAACCAATCTAATTCAGAGCAAAAATTTCTCCCGGACTGTGCATATGTGTGCATGTGTGCATATGTTTTGCATAGACCACAATGCCCCCAACCCAAAATATGGTTTAGAAGAGAAAGCCAGAGTTTTTAAGTCTGGAGAATTACAGAAAGCAAGGGTCTTTTGTGTCAAACTGGATTGGTTTTAATACCCTACAGCAGTACCACGGCAGAGGAAGAGGCAGCAGCTTCTATATACCACTGAAAAGAAGAAAAAAGTGAAGCATTCCTTCATTCCTTCTCAGTCACTGTGCTTCGACCCAAGAGAAATACTGATTTGTTTTTTCTTCTATTAGCAGTCTAGGTGCTCAACCCAAAGGGAGTGAGTCTGTTCTGGGCTTTGAGTCCCCCAAATGAACCCTGGTGGTCCCCCTAGTAGTATTCAGGGGGAGTAAAAAGAAGTAAATTTGTAGTTCCACTCATTTAATGATCAGGGTGATTGTGCTCTTCACAGCATGCGTTTGCACAAGAACTAAGCATTTTGGAGGCATTAAATTAATGTTTAAAGGAAAAATAACGGTCTACTCTCTGACTTCTGTTTCTCTTAACCAGGTTCATATAAGTCACCTTGTCAACAATAAATGCACCCTGCCACTGATGTTAACATCGCTGGCCTAAAACTTTGCATTGCAGAAAATCCTTCTCAATTGAACAAATTATAAATAAATTATAAGAAAATTATAAACATGTAAATTAACCTCTGATCTTATCTGTATTAGTCCTGAATCTGCTTTTATAACATAGAGATACAAGACATAAATTAACAAATTTCTTGACAGGTGGAAAATATTATGTAAAAGGCTGATCATTCTTTGTTCTATTTTCAGCTGGTCTGATGGTGTCACTTCCTTTCAAAGGAAACCATCAAGTAGGCTGGTTTTGTTTATATAGGGTTTTTTTTTATATTTTCATAATATGAAGCAGCTGCTTAAAATGTTAATGAGAAATACCTTCCTTTCCCTGCTCTGCTCTTTGGCCTTTCAGGAAATTTCTAGAGCTTCATTGCTGTCTAGACTGTAAGATCTATAGAGCAAGGAGCACCACCACCCTTCCTGCAGGAGCAAAACGCAGTGATGGGAGGCAGCAGTCCGATGGGTTTCCGTGCTGGTAGAGCTGCTCCTGCCCCAAAATATGGCAGCCACATGCTAAGAAGGATCCCAGCTAAGGGGACGCACAGTGAAGGGGCAGGGTGCACGCGACAGGGACAAGACTTTGTTCCTGTCGACGGCACTGCTGCAGGTATAGGAGAAAACAACAACAACAATTAAAAAAACCCAGAAGGAATTCTGACCCTTCATCCATTCTGCTTCAGTCGTTGTAAAATATCTGGATTAGCTCTTGATCAAAAATAAGTAACTGGGGTTTAACAGAGTGGTTTTGGTTGTGGTCCTATAAAGGAATTAATTTGAACACTGAAGTGCAGCTTAAATAACCTGTCTGGAAGTTGCATCTTTAGCAGATTTTACTACGCAGACTAGCCTAGCACAAAGTTCAAATAAAATAGTCCCAATAAGATTAACCTTTCTGTTTGAAACTTGAAAGAGAGAACTATTCAGTAGGGTCCTTTTCCCTCTGTTTTTTTGTTTTCCTGTCCTTACAAATATACACAGCCTTAGGTACAGTATAAATATACACAGTCAATTTTATTGTAAAATAATTGCCACACTCTTTTTTTATTGGTACAACACTTTCACCAAAAAGGGTTAGTAAATAAATACTACAAGCAAACAAACACCTGGTCTCTTCCTACCCAAAATGACTGACTCTGAGAGCTCCAGACTACCCACTCAGAAAACACAAGCTAAAACCCCTCTATAGCGGTTTATGAGAGCAGAATATGTATCCAAGCTGCCTTCTTCATTTCTCCTCTTGAAGAAAAATCATTCTCCAGTAGATGGAGAAGGAAAAAAACTCATGCTTATGGTAGCCAGAAAGCAACACTGCATTTGACTGCAGGCAAACTGGTGGTGACTGGTCACCCCGCTGGTGATGTGCCTGCCCTTACGTTCCCAGGGTTCTGCTCTGCTCACAGTGAGATGCGGGTAAAAGCAGAGTGACCATAACACACCCTGCGGTGGGTTCCTTGGGAAGTCTAGTGCCTGCACAGCACGGTTTCCAGAGGTTTCTTAAAAACAAAATAAAAGCCTACCAGCTACCTCAGATAAATTCTTTGTTCTATGGTGCATACGGTGGAGGCTTTTCTCCAGGCAAGAAGTAAGTCGGTGTATAGAGGGCTGGAGCATTGGGGGGAAGACCATAGTTGGAGCTGGACTGAGATGGAGGCTGAGTTTCTTCTGATAAAGAAATGTCAGTAGATGATGTTCCTGGAAAACTGCTGGCAGGCTGTATATAGACAAAGAAAAAAAAAAACAACCCTTCTTCAGTAAAGGATTACAACCCCATTTGCAGCTCTGCATTGTGTTTGCCATGTAAGTGTATATAATGAGCCCCATGCTTAAACGTCTCATGCATTGCAGCACAGCGCTCACTTTGGTTTTAAAGCACCTGCTTAAGTATAGCAGTGATGGTGTCTGGCAAGACGAGACAGATTCCATCTGTAACCCAAGTCATTTCTAGCAGATGTAGCGCACACAGCTAGGCCATAGAGCAGAACAGGAATTTCTGCAGGAAAAGACGCTCTGGCTCCCTGGGTGAGGCGCTGCACCCGACAGGCTGATGAGGTTACATGTAGCTGCTTGTTTCCAGGCCTCACTGTGACATTTAAATTACCTCAGGTGTAATTAATCTCAGTTATAATACTTGCATAAATGCAAGGTCTATATTCCTGTGCCAAATGCAGGCTCCTCTTAAGAGAAAATGTTACAGGTAGGCCTGTGTCGCCCTGTAGGTCTCTCACTTTGGCTGTCTCAGCTACAGCGGGGCTTTGGCTGAAAGAAGCACAAGAAACAGATAGAGCTTAGGAAGGAGGCCATGTTCAGGACCAAGCAGAGTTTGTTAAAACAGAAGAATGCATGTAAGGACTAATGATCTGGATAGAATCCTACCACTACTTTAAACCAAGTTTTGCCACTGATTTCAAGAGGGCCAGGATTTCACTCCTCCCCTCATATGTCAACACGTGCCAGTCTGTGGGCTTCATCAGAAGAGCTGGGCTCAGCTCCCCTCAGGTTCAGGCCTAAAGTGCCTGGAATTTAAAAAAACCAAAACAAAATATAATATTCATGGATCATTTTCAAGGGAAATGAAAAATCCGGGCAAGTAAACGCTGCTCCCTGCTGCTAAAAATATTAATAGCTGCCATCTAGAAGGCCAGAAGCAGGGTTGGCACTTGGACAACGGCACCTCAGAGCTGCCCAGGGCTGGCAGGCCCCACGCCACGGCGCCTGGCTTCTCCCCGGGGCTCCAGGGCAGCAGGGGCGGCTGCCCTGGGTCAGACCCCCACGGAGAGGAGAATGTTGTCCCGCATTTGTACCACAGGGTGACTTTAATGACTGAGAATGGGGATGTCCTGACAGGAAGGTTGATTATGCCCTTCAACTCTCCAGGAGGCAGTGCAGGAATACTGACAGACCTGCTAGCTGGATCAGCTCCAAACGTAGTTGCTGGGGTTTTGGGTGGGATTTTTAAATTTATTTATTTATTTTGGAGTTGTTGCTTCCATCCCCCCTCAAACTGCAGGAACTGTTTCCATCGCTGCCTGCAATTGCTTCGGTAGTGAGTTCTCCTCCGGCAGGAATGACTGGCACAACCCCTACCGCTGTCATTGCCACCAGTCCCTGCACAGCTCATCATTTACCTGACCCCTTGGCAGGTCGGCTACCGAGACTAGTTGTGACTGAACTATACAGGTAAAGGATGATTGATTCTGTTAGCACATGCCACAGTAAACAAAAGAAATGCCGGTTACATTCCTGTTATTGCCCTTTCTCTTGCACATTTGGCTGATTTCTGCTTGTGGACAAGGAAGCATCAGGTGAACTGAGGAGTGTTTACCACTGGCTCAGGCTGTGGGGTTTTTTTAAAGACTTTGTTTGCCACTCCAGCAAGCAGTTATTCAATGAAATACTGGATTTAGAAGAGGTCTAGGAATGAATGGGTGGGAGCCACAGCTCCTTTGAGCTAATGGAGCTTCAGTCCATGCAAGTGGGGGCAGCGCTTAGGCTAGGTGTGTTGCATGCCAGACGAACACAAGTTGGGATATGTTGCCAGGAGGAGGAACTATGGCTGTGAATTTCCTCTGGCTGAGGTGAGGGTTCAAACTAGAGTTATTAGTTGGTAATTGATTGCTAACTGCTTTGCTTCATTAAGTGGCATCAATTCACTGCCCCCCCACCCTCTCCCAACTCTTAGCTGAAGAAGGTCTTGCTCCTTTTGTTGTACTGAACCACCATGTGTGTGACCCTGCCGCAGTTGGGGACAGATGCAGGGGCTTAGGAACAGTGTTTAGCCAAAGCTTTGGCAAGCCGAAGGGAATGCTGAGGAGAGAGGTGCATCTTGGGGCCCTTGTGTGGATCTTGTGTGGATCTTGATCTACGTGGAAGCAAAGCCGTCATGCCTTTTGAGATGGCCCGAGGGCATCCTCTGCCAGCTGCTCCAGAAATACGTGTGAGTCTCATGTAGATCTTGGCCCACATCAGCCAGCCCTGTATGGATGTCTTGCAAACATTAGGCCATCTCAGATGCCGTATCTTTAGGCACCTGAACTACACCCCTAGGATACAGGGTTCAGCCTCAGGTTTTGATGTCTCACTCAAAGGCTCAAGAACATAGAGATTTAAGCGCACAGCACGTGACATGTTGCAACTGAATCCCACCCCTAGCCAGTGGAAAGGCCTTTAGGGTGCATTTGTAGCAGGGTCTCCTACACTATGGCCAGCTAGAGCTCAATTCAGTCGCTCACATATGTCCAGCCCTTTCGGGATGCCACAGGATATCCACATCCACATCCACACAGATGTGACACAAGGACTACAGGACCTGGACCCTCCTGGAGTGGCAGCAGGGGCCCAGTGGCTACCTTATCAGGCAGCACTAGATCCCTGCATGCCAACAGCCCCTGCGTTTAGCCAGATGAATCCCAGCCCCAGGGCGTGTAGTGGCCTTAAGAACTAGGACCAGCTGAGCACAGCTTGTGAAGGCCTGAATCCAGCAGCTGGGCACTGCTTGGAGCAAGGAGATGGGTCACAAAGACCTCCAGCCCCATGGATTCAGCCCTCAGTTCTCAAGCAATGAAAGCGGATAACAGTTAAGCTTCTGTCTGTTCCTAATGGGGTCTACTTCTAACATTCACCATTTGTAGCTTTGAGTGAGTTTATTATGATTTTTTTAACTCATATACTGATGCAGAAATTACTTCTCTCCAAACTACAACATAATGAACCGTACATACAGGAAGGCGGCTTGCTCTTCTTTTTTTTTTTTTTTTTTTCCAGGAAAAGGATTAAGCGCTTTCCCTTTTAGAGCCCAGTGCTTCTCACTAACCTCTCCTGGCTTGGGGACAGCTGGTGGTGTCTGCCTCTGAATGTTATGAAAGGGAGAGAAGATAAATGAACACATTTCTTAGAAAAAGTAGAAATCTAGGAAAATAACCGTGTTTATTTTGGAATGCAGTTAAGAATTTGGTGTAAATTTCTGTTTCTCAGTGGACACAGGACTGAAGAGTTACAATTGAACCTCATGACTACTTATGTGCATCTTTTCAGCTTAATTGATTTCTTTCATCTGTTTTTATCCCCCTCTCTCTCTACTCTTGGCTACGTGCTAACTGAATGCTGCAGAACAGCACAGCTTTTCAGCTAAAAGCAAACAAAAAGAGACGTTCTTTTTTTCCTCTCAACCCGTGGTCTCCAAAAGTGCCTGGCCCCATTTATGTTAATAAATAAGACCTGCCAAGGACTGTTCTCTGGGTGTGAAGCCAGCTGGCATAGCACATATCACATCCCTACAGCTGAACTCTTACCACCAAACCAGTGTGACTGTCTGTGTGCACACTACCTACTGGGAACGGACCATTGCCCTTGCCAACGTCTGACCCGTTCCTGAGCGTTGCTGGGAGGCTGTTAGGTGGTCTGGGCCAAATCCATACCAGGAGCATGCTAACAATTCACTGGCATGGATGAGCATCGTGTCCAAGTGCTTGTGCCTGGTAGCTTACTGGCCCTGAACAGACGTAGCCCAGGAGGCCATGGGGAGCTGGTCCACAGCTAGCTCATGCTAAACATGCAGTGTTTTCAATTAAGAAGTATTGCAAAACTTGTAGTACCCACTGGTCTAGCACTACACAGACAAAGTATAACAAGGCATTGGACAGAACAAAACAGTCTTACCGTGCTTTAAAAAAATCTAAAAATTCCTATGATTGCTCCAGGGTCTCAGTACATTTAGTTATTTACCAGCTCGCCCTACGTTCTTCACCTTGCTCTGGGGCAAAGAAAAAAAAAGCAAACACCATCCTCAGCCACCACTCCCTGCGTTTTCCAGGCCAGCTCTGGCTGGACACAGCACAGGCTTGGAGCACGACTCGTACCTCATCCTTCTGAAGGAGGTGAAGCAGTGTTGACTCAGCTCAAGTTGTACCTTCTCCTGCAAGGGGAGGAAGCTGCACCTCCAGCAGCTTTCTCTCTCCTGCCTTCAGGCTGGCCGCCGCTGGTCAGTAAGGCTCACCAACCTCCGCCAGCTGCCGTAGCAGCTCTGTACCTGTCTCCCAGAAGTGGCCCATAGCAGACGCTTATAGGAAGCTAAAAGAAAAAGGGCTCTGTCTTCTGATGAGCCTCCGTTGGTTCTTGTGGCAGGCAGCCATTTGGGGACTCGCTGAGCTGCAAGTGACACCTGAATCCCTGTCTTTAACAGCAGCCAATGTTCCTAAGTCCTCATTTGTACTCTTCCACAACATCCTGTGGCATTTCAATCTTCTCTGGTGTGTAAAAACAATTCCTGTTTCTGGCTTATCTTACCACTTAATATCTTTACTGGGGCAACCAAAACTTTGTGTGATTGGAAGTTATCACTACTATCCATCCACAGTCCTTTCCATATCACTCAGTTTCACAGACCTCTTCTTTCCTCCCCTTTCTTGAGTCTTAATCTATTTATCTCCATACTAAAAGTAAGGTGGGCTAAGGTGTGCCAAATCCTGTGTGTGTCAGATGCTTCCTTCGGCTTCCCCAATGCCTCTGTTACTGCTTCATCTTGCCCAACGTGGGCTCTGTGTTCACCTTCATGATTACTGTAGCACAGCTCTAATCCCACATTAGGATTCCTGGCCAGCAGCCAGAGTCCAAAGGACAACCAGAGAAAGCCTGAGATCTGAGAACAGACCTGAGAACTAGGCCGAGCCTAAGTCGTCCCAGAGATGAGTCTGTGAGTTGGGATCCAGCTTCCTTGCCTCTTTTCAAACCCCCAGGAGACAAGATCTACCACTGTAGAGTTTGTACCGTAGCAGCTTACGATTTTCTGATGGAGTAATAAGGGTGCCATTTTGTACTGTACCTGAAGAGGTAACGGGTAGGATGGATATGTAGAAATAGTTGCTGCAGAAGGACAGAAGCCAGCGTATGTCAAGATCTGCTGGGCAGGATTGTACAGGATCTGGGGTGGAGGTGCAGCACTGAAGGCAATTTGGGACAGAGGTACCTGTTGAGCACAGAAGACAACAACAATACATCAGCACAGTGCAGAGGGAGCTGGAACAGGAACTGGTCCTAACACAAGCAACTAGGCAATTTAACAGCTTTCTATTTTCCAACACAATACCAGTGCTACAAAAAACCAAGGAGCAGACAGAAAGAGAGGAGGGTGTATCTGGAGTGAATATTCTGACCAGAAATACACGGCTATTTTAATCTTCTTCCCTTGGAAAAAAGACTGCTGGTACTTCCCTAGCACCAGTTACAGAAGCACTGGCAGGACTCCAGACCCGAGACACCCTGAAGAGCACAGCATACAGCTTTGACCACCTCTTCTTATCCACTCCAGCACCAAACACCCAGCCCTTCACAATTTGCTGCAGACTCTTTCCAATAGCAGCTACCTGATGCCCTCATGTCTTTCTCTCTGTTTTCCTACTTGGATGTAGAAAGATCTCCCTTTCCAGACCACTTGCTCTTCTTTCCACAGCTCCCTCTTGCTTGTGAAATGGCGTTTGCTGCTGGCTGTCCAATACCACCCCCCCATGTGCATATCTCATTCCTACTGCAGTAAGTCCTTCATCGTATCCCGTGGCTTTATTGGCATGTCCCTTAACTGCAATGTGAGGTGAAGTTTGCAGAAAGAATAGCTTGTATCAAACCAGCTAATACAACTGGGAGAAAAAAAAAAAAAAAAAAGGCGCAAAAGCTAAATGTGAAAGGGGGCTTGTGTAAACCCTAAGCCCCTGTGCTATACAACCGTTTGTGAAGGACAGTAGAGCTCTGTGAAAGATTTTCCCACCCCTCTGCTTTGCAAAGCGAGACAAATTCAGTGGTTTCTTTTCTCTCCTCTGTTTTTATTAGCAGATTCCTCTACATGAGAGCATGGAATTTTCTTTTTACTGAAATAATAAAATATGGTGGTTGCCAGACAAATGCTGAAAGCAGCAGCCAGGATCTTTTTCTGGTATTTCCTTTCAGTTTTATCAGAGAGACACATAAACCACTGCATCCTCTGGAGATAGTGTGAAATCTCTCTGTGCTTGAGAAAGAGATATATTAGTTCTGTTTGTACATGGAAAACATTGCCTTGGTCACCGATGTACCACATGAGGTTCCCTGACAATCTAGGCCTCAGCTCTCTGGAGAAACAGGAGCTGGCGCAGAGAAAGGCGGGGGTCAAAGGCAGACAGCCTATTTCGTGGAGGAAGGCAAATCTCTCATCTTCAAGGTACCATCCTCAAAACACTTCCCTTCTACTTGCCCTGCTGGGTGGATACAGTGGTGAGAAATGGCGAGACACTGCCTTTCAGACAGGAGTAGCGAGAAGCAGCTAAGGAGCTGCCTCAGACCCAAAGGTTTGGGGCCAGTGACATGGCTCACCCTGACCGGGTGAGCTATGGACGTAACGTGGCAGGAAACACTTCTTTTGCCCAGCGTGAAACACAGATGCCTGTTCTGCATCTGTCACCAGCTCTCTGGTGTGGGTCCCTTTGGGTGCTGCTGTCCTTCTCCCAGGAACCTCTCTCAGCCCTCTGATGTTCTCTCCATCCGTAGCAGCAACCCTCTCCAATTGCTAAGGATGAACATCACAAGACTCCTAGAAGACAGTTTCGGAGAGTCATCCGCCCCAAATCCACTGATCAAAGCACCTTGTTATCAGGCTATCTCATCCCAGCCTGGAGCCAGCAATGTTTTGCAAGTATTGAATGCTTTTATCAAGTATTCCAGTAATGACACTATCTTAACTTAGTCACATAAAACACAAGGGTAGGTGGAGACCTTTTAAACTGAAACACCACCCAAGCCAAAGAGATAAGGAGCTGTGAACTGGCCAGGGAGTGCTGCCAGTGCCATGCGGGCACCTCGGGTCAGGGAGCGTGGCTGTGGCCGGAGGGGCTGGCTGGCCACCCCCCAGCTGGCTGGGCCAGCACTGCTGGCTGTGGGCTGGACTGGGCAGCTGCAGAGCAAGGCAGGTCAGCTCCCTGATCTGACACAGACCTGCCAAAGCATTTATTTCTCAGCTACGACTACTTTTCAATGCCAGACTGCACCTTTAGTTGAACTAGTGCTAGGATGTGAAGCTCGGTAATTAGGGGTTCATTTCGGTTTCCTTTTTAGATCAGGCTGAGGGAAGAGAAGAGGGGATAAGGGAATGATACTTAACCTGTTCAGATTCCCTTGAGGACTTCAAGAAGGAGACTAATTGAGAAAAAGAAAAAAGGCAGCAAGCTCCCCAGGACAATCAGTAATTCTGATTAACGCAACCCTAAACCTAGGACAGGCAGATTCCTTGGCAAAGTGTGTCAGGAAAACATCTACAAGTCATCCGATGAATACGGGAAGCAGGGAAGGGAGTTGCTAGATTAACTCTTAGTACCAGCAAGTGAAGTTTTCCATGCATTTCTTTACCTCTGCCTTCTGTAAGAGATAATCACGGTGTTTTACCATTTTGGATACTCTGAGTACATACTTATATTTACATTATATCTCAATCCGTGTTTTGTTAAAGGTGACTTTAAGGTAACTGCCCAGCCGGCGTCCTGTATCCAAGCACACTGTAGATCTGAAAAGGAGGGTACCATCGTAACCACCGCAGCTCCCCCAGCACCCAGCAGATGACACAGGGGCCACTGAGAGCTGACACCTTGGGCGTCAGGAGAGGATGAAATGTTTCCCACTGAGCCAGCACGGCCTTCTGGCAGGCAGCAAAACCACGGGGAGCGTGCCAGGGTCTGCAGGGAATTTGTCACAAGAAAGAAAACCCACAACAACCAAAACCACACTTTTTTTTTTTTTTTTTTCTGTCCAGGAAATATGATGGGTTTAGAGGCAATGGCGCTGTTTTGCAAACTCTCCCCTTCGTAACATGTTTTGGCTGCCAGCGTTCCCCAGAGATAAACATGATGTTTTTTTGTTTGACTAGTCAGCCTGGCCCTGTGTTTTCTGGAAATCAACCTCGGAGCAATGCCCTGAGGCGTTTCAGAGGGCTTTGCAGCTCTCCCTGCAAAATGGCAGTGAGCATTTCTGTGGGAAGGTGACATCCTGAAGGAAGGAAAATTGTTCTCCCACCCATTTTGAATGTTTTTTTTTCTTATTTCAGTCCCATGCCCCTTTCTCTCCCTCTTCTGCTTGATGTTTTCTTGGCCCCTGTCTTCCCCCGAGAGTTCCTCCTTTCGTAACAAAAGCGAGCAGCAGATTTGCAAACCAGCTCTGGTACATCACTCAAAAGGACCATGAAAAAGCACAGGCAGGAGCAAGGAGGGGTCATTGCGTTTTGGACCGCTGCTTTAGTAACACTTTCACAAGCATAGCATGGCTCCTCTCCTGAGGTAACTGACACAAACTCATCTTTCCTTTAAGCTACTGAGGGTTTTTTTCCACTCCTGCTGCAGAGGAGACATTAAGCAGCTTATACAGGTCAGGTTTTTAGCTTTAGCCCCAACAGGCTCACTCCAGCCAAGCCTGGGGGAAGCTGCACATCCACTGCTGTGATTTCCTTGTATGGCTTTTGCTGCCCAGTCAGAGGACCCAGACCTTCACCCAGGCTCTGCCTCCCAGCAAGGGAACGCTGGGTCCTGGAGACTCCAGTTCTCCCAGAACATCTCCTCAGCTTGGCATCCCTTGTGAGCAGTGCAGTGATGGCCCCTCAGACAAGTGCCTGAGCTGGAGCTTGCCCTGCTATGAAGCATCAGCCCAAATCCCATATAAGCCCCAGTCTGTACAAGACAGATTAGGTGGACTCAGGATGGCTCTATGCACCTTTCCCCATCTCAGGGGAGCACTAGCAACTCCCACAGCTGCCCTTGGTGGAGGCACTCACATCTAGGCAGGGGAAAATACTTAGCAGCACTGGAAAGATGCTGTGCTCTACCAAGGCCTTACTGTAAATGATGCTTGCCTTCCCCTCCTCATGTACCTCATGGTACTCTCCTCATGGACCACATGAGGAGGACCAGGAGGGTAAAAGCCCTCCCACTGTAAGAGAAGATCAGGTTTGTGACCACCTGAGGAACCTGAACATACATAAGTCCATGGGACCTGATGAGATGCATCCCAGAGTCCTGAGAGAACTGGCCGATGAAGTCGCCAAGCCACTCTCCATGATATTTGAAAAGTCATGGCAGTCAGGTGAAGTTCCTGGGGATTAGAAGAAGGGAAATATTGTACCCATTTTCAAAAAGGGTAGAAAGGAAGACCCTGGGAACTACCGACCAGTCAGTGTCACCTCTGTGCCTGGGAAGATCATGGAACAGATCCTCCTAGAAGCTATGCTAAGGCACATGGAGGCCAGGGAAGTAATTCGAGATAGCCAGCATGGCTTCACCAAGGGCAAGTCCTGCCTGACGAACCTAGTGGCTTTCTATGATGGTGTGACAACAACAGTGGACAAGGGAAAACCAACGGCTGTCATCTATCTGGACTTCTGCAAAGCCTTTGACATGGTCCCCCACAACATCCTTCTCTCTAAATTAGAGAGCTATGGATTTGATGGGTGGACTGTTCAGTGGATAAGGAATTGGTTAGATGGTCGTATCCAGAGCATAGTGGTCAATGCCTTGATGCCCAGATGGAGATCAGTGACGAGTGGTGTCCCTCAGGGGTCCGTACTGGGACCAGTGCTGTTTAATATATTAATCAATGACATAGCGAGAGCGAGTGCACCCTCAGCAAGTTTGCAGATGACACCAAGCTGAGTGGTG